GTTAAAGTTGTGTTAGAAGGTTGAGATGACGGGTAAATCTCCACCTTTTTTATTTTCAAAGTTTTATGTGTTGGCATTTTTATTGGGTGTAATTTGACAAAGCAAAAACAAATAAACACACCAAAAAAAGAAAGAAAAGGTGGAAAGACTGGAGGAGGGGAAGAAGAAAGGAGAAGTCATTTGAACTGCTTCATCTACAGTTGTGCCCACTATACCATAAAGAGTTATAAACAGGTAATGTCCATGACTCACACCCTCTCAGAAGTGAGGCCAGCTATACTGAGAAGGTGCCTCTTGTGGTGACGTCCCTTTTCAGAATTCTGTTAAAAATGATGACAAATGTTCCAGTATACTACTTATGCCAATTTTTTAAAAACTGCAAGTGGTCGGTCACAAAGAACATAAGCATTAGGGATATCAAGTAGGACTGAGGAGAGCTGAGACTCACCTTTGGCGTCCGTTAGCTCAGCCTGCTCACCTCTAGCATCTTAGCCCCAACCACACCCTGACTCACAGTTGATGGATTTGGGAAACTGTGTCCATGGCGGTGTGAATAGGACGTGGCAAAGCAAGCAGAGGCCCAGGAGCAAGGTGTAAGTCTATGAGCAGAAGCGGCTCGGGAACATCTCCAGGCAGCTGCTGCTGCAAGCACCTGGGACATTTTTCACTACCACCCCTTTCTTGTACTCAAATCAAATACTTCTTTTAAATTCCCTAATTCTAACTTTCAAAAAGTTCTGCCTGATGCACAAACTAAATCTGTCCTATTTGCTTTCCTTTATAGGCCATCTCCACAATTCAAATATAATTGGCCAGCATTCCCGAATGAAGTGATAGCCGTCGAACACAACAGTTAAGTTTCCTTTTGCTCTTCTTTGCTCTTTCTCCTAACCCCAGGCTAAGAAATATTTTGAGCAATTGTGTTATAGCAGAAAATAAACACTATACACCATAATTCCTTAAGTTGCATAGACTCAGAGACTAAAATAATCAACATATTCATAAATGTGTCGAACAAGAGATATCCAGGTTAGTATGTTGACAAACATAATTTGTTTTCTTAAGTTTTCTCATTTTTCAGGACATGGATATAGTACAATATTCCAAAGGTATCAAAGCACATACGGTGACCCCAGCTCTCCTCTCCAGAGGGAAGCATTGCTATATTTTTTGTTACATGAAATTTGGAACTACAAGAACTCTTCTGTACATTTAGTGGCTTATAAATTAAGTGGCAAAGATGCTCTGGGAGAAGGTTCTGAATGACAAACTGAAACAAAATGTCATCTTCTTCTAATCTGAACATCATTCCTCCTTCAGGGCACAGACTCTTATTTGTAATCAAGAAAAAATTTGCCCATTTGTCTAACATTATGAAATTAGGCTCACATTAAGCAGTTTATGTCTCCCTGAAACATTGTGGGATCTATTCTTGTTAAAAAAATAATAACAGCTAATTTGTTCAACTACCTGCTTATTGCAGAGAGGGCCATTGTCTTTCACTCAGTACTAGCATTTCTCAGTTTTTGATGTTAGGCAAAGAAAGGCAAAGAGCTCTTTTGGACTATCTGGCAATACTTAATTTATGTGTTGATAGAATAAAATAAATCTTGAGGTCAAGGTATGCATTGATGAGTGAAAGGTCAGGTGAGCCTTCACTTGCCACCACCCAAGTCAGGGACTCTTAGTGGGAGGAACACGGGAGGGTGCAGGGTGCTCAAGGAAGAATGACCTCCTAGGGGAGCACTTTAGAATCTGTGTGTGGGGGAGGTCATTTAAAAATTACATGTGTCTCCCTCCTTTATGTCAGGGGTCAGTAAACTATGGGCTGAATCTAGCCCACCATCTGTTTTTGTATTTAAAGCTTGACTGGAACACAGCCATGCTCACTTGATTTTATCTTGTCTATGCTGCTTTTGCAATGGCAAAGTTGAGTAGATGACATAGATTGTACGGCCCACAAAGTAAAAAATATTTACTACCTGGCCCTTAACAGAAAAAGTTTGTTACCCCCTGCCCGAGATATTTCCTGAGACTCATTACACAGTGAGCTGCCATTACTAAATAATGTATCCTTTTCCTCAAGTACGTCCTTTTCCTTAGGACTTTAAGATCAAGGTTTACTTTGGTTGTTAGTAATTAAGAACTGAAAAATAGTGGCTTAAACAAGATACTTCTCTCTCACAGAAAAGTCCAGGGCTGAATTGACACTCTAGTGTCAGCACCCAGGCTGTACTCTACACAGCTTCCATTGCCAAGATCATACCATGGTCCAAAATGGTTGCCAAAGTACCAGCCATTACATTCACATCCAAATAGCAGAAAGGAAAAAGAATAGCCTCAACCCATCTTTTAAGGAAACTTCTGGAAATATCACTAACCACTTCTAATTACAAATCATTGGCTAAACTTGGCCACATAGATACACCTAGCTGTAGTGGAGGCTCAGAAGTGTAGACTTTTAGTTGGCTGGCAAGTTGCTTGGATTAAAAAGTCAACCTTGTGTTATTTTTCAAATGGGGGTTGGATATTGAAAGATAAGTAGCAATCTCTGCCACAGGAACCTCACTCCAATCACCAAGTCTCTTACTAAGATAGGTGCACACTCTGCGCAGCCTAATCATTTGGCATAGCTCCAAAATGACAGATATTTGTTTAACATTTATTTAAGAGACGGTAATATCAGTGCCAGTGAGAACTAGTTTTTCGTTGGTTGTTTGTTTTCAAATTTCCAGGCAAAAGTGCTGCCTCCTCCAGAAGGAGTGGACAAATTCTCCTTTTACCAGTAGGTATGGGATTGTGTGCGTAGACCTGTGTTAACAGAATACTTCCATACAGTGTAGTGATTTTCCTTTTTTAGTGAACTGTCTGCTTGCCTATTCTGTCTCTGGGTCCACAGGACCCTGACGCTATCCCACTCCCACTGCAACTCTCCAACTACATGCTCATTCTGCATTTACCCTGTTCATTACAAGTCACCAAGACTCAATATTAACCCCTCCCCAAAACCACAGCTACCCCACATCCAGGGCAATAACAGTGCTCTGTAACCTTTAGGTTCTGACAATCTCCAACCAAAAAGGGCTCCTCATCTTACTTTTAACATTGGTGATATGGGAAGTAGAGGTGGAGCTAAGGCAACATCAAGAAGAAAGAGCTTGAGAAATAAAAAATTAAGAATGGATTCTGAATCCTTGATTCCAGATGGTTTTCTGCATATTAAATAAGAATGGGAAAAAAATGACAAGTCATGCCCTTGGCATATCAGTTAATACTTAGCCAACAATCTTTTCCTCATGCTTTTCCTCCTCTTCAAAAGTAAATAACCAGACCTTCAGTATCAACATGTAAACTCCTGGAAATTTCTCTCTCACATCAAAGTCCAGGGCTGAAGGGTACTCCATTGTGTCAGAGACTCAAGCAACCCCATACATTCTATTTTCTGTAAAGCTAGGAAACAGATATCATCTGCAAGCTCCAAAATATACTTAAAGGCTGCCAAAAAGCAACCAAAATAAAGTAGAAGACAAAGGGGAGAAGTGAAGAGAAGAAACACACAGAGTGGCATATCTCAGAAAACACCAGCGAAAATACATTTCTCGGAGCTGAGGGTTACAATCTCATGTGCAAGGTCTATTTCACCAGAAAGTGTTGAAACTGGGTAAACAAAGGTAAACCTTCTATCTGTAACAAGGTGAGATTTTGGGTGGGAGGCAGACCTACAGAAACAATCAAAGAAATAAGTGAGCCATATTTAAAGAAAGAGTTGATTTCTTGGCATTGGAGAAAAAGAAAGCCTTATGATTTGAAAACAACTAGCCTGAACGAGCACCCTAGCACCTCCTTGCCATGTCAACCCTCAGCCTTACACTTCAATCTTGTGCAAATAGCTGGTTTAGAAGACCCAATGCATTCAAATATGAGTGACAAAAAAGTAACCATATGCAGACCACACCTACATCAATCAAAAAATAGGAAAAAAATATGGAATATGGCAAGAAAACTTACTTACAGAGAAGTCATAGAAAAACGCTGCCATTGGATCATATGAAATTTCTGGAGAAATATTTTACAATAAATTCTAAAAACAAAGTGAATAAATTTCTCTATGAAGAAAAATCACACAGCTGAAATAGAGAGAGACGGCAAAAAAAAAAACAGGAGGATCTGAAAGGTGAGCTTGCAGAACTCAGAAAAGGGTGAAAAACAAAGTTACTGAAAATGGAAATGGAATGTGTGCAAGGAAGGAGAGACCACAGAAAACAGAGTAAGGGACAGAAGAGATAACAATGAGGAAAGTATTCAAAACGAAGTGGAAATAAAGGGTTTGAAAACATTAGAGAGAAATTAATAGGTAGAGAAGCCAGACAAAAGAGAGTCTATTCATGTATAAGTGAAATCTCTGAAGAATGCAACAGAACACAACAGATCAGAACAAAGCCTTAAAGATATAATTCCAGAAAACTTTCCTAAAACCAAAGCAGACTCAAATCTGATTAGAGAGACAACTATACACACACAGACACACCAGGAGAACAGGTCAACACTAAGATGAATCCTGATAAAGTCACCAAACTTTATCCCAGAACCTAATACAGGTTTTGGCCTGTGGTAAGTACTCAAGAAACATTCACAAAGAGACTAACAAAACAGCTTTTTCTCCACAAACTCCTCTTTCTGCCTCATCTCCTCTGTTCCTGGGATGGGATATGGTAAGCAATCACTTTCAAAAACAATACCAGAAAACAACAAGATTTTTAAAACATTCTGTTTCATATATTTTCTTTACTAAGGCAGGAGAGATTAAAAATGCATTTTAGAAAGATTTTCAGAAAGGACTGATATAAAAGGTGTTTCTGATAAGCTATACATTCACTATAAATTTAGAAAACATTTTGTCTCATATGCATTGGATTTCAGCAAAATATTATTATATGTCTCCATATGCTATTTGTCACATAGAGACAAAAAAGGATAAAATCAGAAAGATTTTTACTTACTTTGGATGTTCAAACTTGTCTATGAGATCAACTTTTTCCACCAGGTCTCCTCCAATTGTTCGGACTAAGTCATAGAAATCGTTTTCTGAGTAATTCTCAGAGGGCAACCAGAATGAGATGTCATTTATCACAGCAGGATATTTGCTAAGAGGCTAACAAAACAAGAGAAGAAAAGATAGATGGATTTGTTAGTTGGATGAGAACGCTTAAATTCATGAAAGTTACACTTGGTTAATTAGAAAATGCTGGTAAAATACTATTTCAGCACTTGAATTTTTAAGAACAAAATGAACTTAAAAGCTAAGTCAATATTCAAAATTAGCAAATTCTATTATAAATGTTACAGATTCTTCTCACATTCATGCATAACATTACATATATTATATTTACATCATCATTAATGTTCAATTTAGTATAAAGCAATTTGAATATATCATATTTCAGTTTTTTCCATTTGAGTAGTAGAGGAGAAAAGTTCAAATTTAATTAACAAGTGATTCATTAACTTCTTGTGACACTTTCAGGAAGCCATTTTAATAGAGAAATAAGTAAAGCCTTGTCAAAATTGATATTTCAATTAGTAATGTTATTATTTGTTAGTATTTCTAATAATTAAATAAAGGACTGGGCTGATAAGTAGTCATTTAGGAAGTTATTTTTCAAAGTGCCCCTCTAAAGATGTGATAAACACAAATGTGGCCATTCCCCCAGTTTATTCCACTTTTTCCAGTTTATTAGAGCTCATTAGTTCATCATTATATTGGACAGACATTTAAAATTAGATACTTTCAGAAGTTACTACATTTGTTTACATGGTGTATACATATGTACATCACAATTATATATATATTATATATATATACATGCTTTGGTCTATAAGTTACTGCCACAATAAAAAATGTTTCATTTTATAACTATGAAATCTGAAGGGAATATTTGCTAAAGCCATAATTTCGTTAGAAGGGAAAATTTATAAATTGATTTACACCAAGTCTGATATCACTATCAACCCTTTTTTGAATCATTGATCAGAAAAAGCGTAACATTTTTCAAATGGCAAAACCTCTGAAGAAACAAATATTCAAACATAAATGATTGTTCAAATTGAAATATCAATAAAGTCGTCAAACAAATGCCTCGGTTTAGGACACACATTTCAAATGAACATAACAAAGCCGCCATCCAGGGGCTCTCAACAAAATACCACGGTTCCTGAAAACTTTATTGATACAAAGAAAAAAGCATCTGATAAATGTAATATTTATTCATTATTAAAAAAAATATAGAAGGCAACCTCCTTAACAAGGTAATTAATGAAAACCTGTAGCAAACATCATATTTGATGTTAAAGAAAATTTTTAGGAGCATTCCAAATAAAGTCTAGAGTAAGATAAGGACACCCACTCTCACCCTTCCTTGCCCCATTACATTATAAATCCTAACTAAGGCAATAAACAAAAAAAAGCTGTGAACTAAATGAATTGGAATGGAATAGGCAAACATTTGTGATCCCAAATTTGAATCTCTCTTATTAGCTATATGGCTTGGACAAACTGCTTAATCTGCTTTCAATTTTCTCATGTGAAAAATGGAAATATTATTAGTACCACCCTCATACAGTTACTATTTCATATATATTGTTATATTATACACACAATATACAAGAGTTAAGTGAACAAACTGGAGATACATATATCACTATGGCTAAAATTAAAAAACATGATGTTGAGTTTTTTTAAAAAGTAAGTTGTAATAAGATGTGTTCAGTACGATATTTATAGGAAGTTTAAAATCAGGTATAGCATTAATATATATGCATAAGTTGTATTAAAACAGATGTGGGAAGGCTATACAGGACTTTGGAACAATCACTGCCTCTGGGAAAGGAGGGAAAAGTATTTAAGAAGGGTAAAAAAGGGATTTCAACTTTATCTTTACAATGCAAAGGAGTTACGGTTCAACCTTGATTTGTGCAGCAAATGCACTGAGTGACCTTTGCATACTAGAGGTGTTGGCTGGCTTGGGGTAGAGGCAGGTGGCACACCACAGGAAGATCAGCCCCAACTTATACTTTATTCCCTTCATGCAGATTGATGCTAAACATCTTTTAACACTCTCTTCTTATTAGAGGATAGCAAAATATGCTACCTTCCAAAATATGCTACTTTGGTATAAGGATTATTTTGAGCTGAAGGCAATTGAGAAGAAGCTAATACAAGAAAGCTCTTGCCTCTCCTCTGATTTGCCTAAGAACAGGACACAAATTTGCAAAGGTGTCCCACCTCCCCTCTCTACTAGGAAGGACAGAAGTTAATCAATGGAGACAACTCAAGACCCTTATCAGCTCAGAGATGGCACCAGAGGAATCTACATAAAAATCTTTACTAACTAGTTCATATCTTCCATTAGTTTCCTATATATTGGCTTTTCCACAATTCGCTACTCCTAGAAACTCGTCATTTTCCTTTGTCTTATCACTTCTCTAAAAAGTTTTGGTTTTTTGCCAAACTGATACATAAGCCCAAGATCTAACCAAACCTCTGAATTACCCATCTCTGGGTACTCCTATGTGTTACATGTGTGAAGCACATATTAATAAACTTGTTTTTCTCTTATTTGTCTTTGGTTACAGAGCACCAGCAGATACTTATAAGGGTAAAAGGAAAATTTTTTTTTTTCGTTCCCTACATTATTCTTACATTTATTGCACTGTGGCTACCTCTAATGATCTTGGAATAATACCCTTATTTATCAGGTTAGGTTAATCCTAGGGATTTATCAACGTTTTTCATAGTTTGCCCTTTTTAAAACCTCCTATCTCTGCCGATTATTGACACTTCCAAACCAAGAATTGTTTTCTTCCCTGTTGGGTTTGGGAGTAGGGCAATCACGGAGTTATGCGCTTCCCTGACCTCACTGCAAGTCCCGTCATGGTATTAAGTGGCCCCCTGAGGTTCATTTCTCTGCCTTTTTGTCCTCCAGGCTGGCACTCATGTCTGATTCATCCAGCATCAGTTAGCCCAGCAGCAGCAGCACAGCGCCTGGCTAATAAATGCTTGTTGAACTGACCATACTATGGAGTCTGTGTGAAACTTCCCAAGTTTTCCAGGAGAGTTTGGATTTTTAAAAATAATAATTATGGTTCCCCAAAGGACAATCCTGCCCATCATCTGGGCCACATGAATTTGGTTTTCAAAGATGTTGTTATCCTTCTCTTTTTCTTTTCTTTGAAATAGCTTTGTTTACTAAGTTTTACTCTACTCCCACCCCTCTCTTTCTCCTTTAAAGGCGCACTGTCCCTTCAGACCTGCATCACCAGATTTGCAGGTGAGAAAGTTGAAGGACCAGAGTCCAGTCACTTAACAGGAGACAGAGAAAAGTGGGTGCATTTTTCTCTAACTCCAGTTAATTCCTGCTCTTCTCTTTATCATCTTTCTTCTTGTTTAGTTGGCTTTATTCTGCTCTTTCTCCAGCTTATTTAGGTGAAAGAATAACTCATGTATTTTGAGGCTTTCTTACTTTTAAACAAAAGCATTTAAGGCTATAAATGTTCCTCTAAATACCTCTTTAGATATATGCCATAAGCTTTATCTTTCCATAAATTTTCTCCTTTCCTGCCTTCTACTGGCTTGATCAATTTTTTAAAATATTCTAATATTTTTATCTCTTCAGTTAAAAAAACTGTAAATTGCATTTCTATTCTTTAACACACACATGCGCACACACACACACACACACATGTAAATATCCTTTAATAAATTGTTCTAAAGCCTAAATTTATTTAGGGTCTCTATTCAGCTCCTAAATGAGATAGGAACTTAAAAAAACTTTTTTAACAGCTCCTCTTCCCAAGTATTAGAGTTTTTATTTTTTAAAAAGCACACACAAAATAACAAGTTATTTAAAGCAACACAACTGAAGTCAAAAAATTGTTTTTTAATTCTATATTTATTTTTTGCATTCCACCTCTTTGTTGGGAGACAATTCTCCATGGAACTTCCAGACACTTGTAACCACTTGTATAACAAACAACCTTGGAAGACAGAGGTAGTCTTTCCCTTGGGTGAGGAGAGGAGATTTGTTTCTTCACCAGGATAATAAAGATAACATCTTCCTCAGGGGCAAAGATGGGGCAGGTTTGCTAACAACCTCTTTAAAAGATTGGCAGGAAAACAAGCAAGCAAACACACACAAACCAACAAACAAAAGACTGGAGGGTTCCTAAACTTCAGCTTTTCACTGTGCTCTAGGCCCAGCGTGTGAGCAGCATCCACCTGAGCTGCTCCACATTACCCCTATGGGATTTGGGAGGTTAGGAGAAGCAATGTGAACAGGAAACTTACGCTGCCTCTGTGCCATGGGTAATAAAGTCCTTTGTCTCTGACCCAGGAATCTCGTGTCATTCTGCCAGCAGCCGAGAATCTGTGGCAGGCTTCCTTGTTAACTTGCAGGTAGGGTAAAATCTTATGTCTTTCACAGTTCCTGACAGTCTTCTTTCTCACTTTTGTTCTTGCAGATGAATATCCTTTAATAGTTTTTTTCATTGAAAGTATTTGGGAGGCAAAGGCTCTCAGTATTTACATGTCTGAAACTCCTCACACTTACATAATTTGGCAGGGTGCAAAGCTGTAGGTTTATAGAGTCTCCCCTCAGGACTTTGAAAATGTTTTTCTGTATCTATTAGTAATGATGAGAAGTCTACTGTCAGTAGTGCTATTTCTTCATAGGAAGTCTGTCTTTTCTTCCTGGCAGTTTTGAAGTTTTATCTTTATACCCAAGGCTCTGCAGTTTGATTCTGATTAGGCCAGGGCTGCATTATCTTTATTTATTCTGCTCAGTACTCAGAGTGTGCTTTCATCCAGAGGGTTCATGTCTTGTTCTTATCTGGAAAAATTCCAGCCACTACTTTTCTGCCATTCCTTTCATTCTCCTCTGGAACTGTAATAATACCTACTGTGGCACTTCTTAATCTATATTCCATTTCTCTTAACTGATCAATTTCAGTTTTTTTTATCTTTATGTATTTATGCTGTATTCTGGGTGAATTCTCCAGTAATAGCTTCCAACTTACTAATTCTCCCTTCAACTGTGTCTAGTATTGTCTGATTTTTCTCTTTTATTTTGATGAATCCATTACTCATTTCTGATATTT